GTGGATGTGCAGTGAGAGAGGCCTGGGTGGATAGTGCAGTGAGAGGGGTACTTCTTCTACTGAGCTCATCATCCACTTATTTGAGAACCGCACTCACACCGAGTTACACATTTCCCAAAAAAACTCGCCAAAGACAGCAGAATGATGAGAGAGAAAATATGGAGGGATGGAACAACTTCAGAGCTCTAACTGTAACTTCATCTGGCAGTGATCTTGCCACTGCATGGTTAGCTATATCTCACCGTGATGCCAGCGAGCATAAACATGGATGCGCTGTCCTTCCACGCCACTAGCTGCGAGGTGTGTGCTCTTTGACGTCGAGGAGAGACTCGTGCGTGTAAAGATTCCTTCCAATATCGGGTGAAATAATGATGCTTGTCTCCTGGATACAGGCGGCGGACTGACAGGGAGCGGCAAAAGCTGAGGGCCTCGGTCTCCAAGGCGATGGAGAGCCGAGCGAGCAGGAAGCAGAGCCGCACAGACCCGGCTGATGAATTGGACTGGATTACGCCGCACGGACTGGCTGACAAGCGAAGGAGGCTCAGCGGTTACTAACAACCTTGGTCTGGCAAGACAACTCTCACGCCAGTGACATGGGGCTAAAAATGTACTGTTACAGGTGATATCCTCGTGGTTTAAAAAAAGCACTAGCTAAAAGTAACTCAAAGTGACTCCGCTCGGGAAATTTGCCAGGGATGGGTCAGAGATGGTTTGCCATTAAGAAGATAGCGTCGAAAACCCTGTTATTTTCACCCCTAGACTGTTTTTATTGCTATTATCAGTGAATCAGGGCAACAATACAGTAGCTATCTCAAACAAATTCCAAGTCTTTAAAATTCCATGGTACTATATAGCACAACTGTTAAGGTCCTACCATGAATATAATTCAAAAGATGATATGGACTGTAGAGTCTCCATTGTTTATAAGTTGTTTGAACTGTATAACAGTATGCCGTCCCTTAGTCATTTAAAAATATTAAATAAAAATTATTACAATTAATTAAATTATTTAATAAGACTATTTTAATAAAAGTAATTATTTAATTTATTGATATATTATTCATATTACTAAATAAAGGCCATTACTTGGGTCTGTAGAACATGTAAGTATAGGCACTTTTTAAGACATCTTCACTTATGTAATTTATTTGTTTATGTTTGTTTTGTTTTTTTGTTTTGTTTGTTTATGGTTCTATGATCCACAGATCATCACTACTTCCAGCATGGCATCCGTGCAGTGACAAGGCGTTCCACCAGAACGTTCTTGCAGCAATCCCAGCAGGCGGGTCCCCTTGTGTTTCTGTGACAGGGCAGAGTCCTCCGGTGAGACGCGGCTCTCGCCCCTGCGAAACGTGGGCCTGGCCCGGGCTGCGCCAGGAGGGAAGTGGGTCACGCGGGCACTTGTTTTTATTTAGGTGCTGCAAAGAAACGCGGGCAATGAGTGAAACACTCCCAGTGTCTATATTAAGTGTACGAATAAACAAGCACAGCTGGATGCTCGAAGGGTAACAGACGCCATTTTCCACGTAATACTGTTTGTGCATACGTGTTATTTTGGTAGGGTTTTGTTTTTATTGCTTTACATGGAAAGTCTGTTGCAGGAATGGGCATTTATGCAGCCCCATCTGGTAAATATGTACAGGTCCACCTCCAATGCGTCAGTCACACATTCAAATGATGTTTGTTTGTCTGTGGTTGTGTTGTTTGTTTGTTATTGTTTTTCATATTTCGCTGCTGTACTTTTTGTTTTCTATTGGTTTGGCACTGTGGTCTGCAAGAAGCACGTAAGAAAGACATCAATTGCACTATTATATATTAAAATTAAAGTACCTTGGAATTCTCCTGGGGAATTCAGACAATGTACACTGCAGGAATATCCGCTTGTTCAAGTATAAATGACACATTTGAAGGCTGTGTTTGTGTAGTGATGAGGAATCACTGACTGCTCTGTGACACGTCGCCATTGCGCCCACAGGAACGCATGCGGCGACACCGCCCCTGCAAACCACGCAACAGAAATCTGCCCCCCCCCATCTGCAACCGAAGCTGCAAGATTCGAATCGGCCGACAACATCCGCAAGCCTGGATTTGGAGGAGACTTGGGAATAAGGATTCTCAGGGCCCATGGGGAAGAAGAGAGACAAGGAACATTCCAGGCAATCGGGCAGGAGGAAGTCTGTGGGGAGCTGTCCGTTTAATAACAGCCTATGGAGATAATGCAGTCTTCCTCTGATATGTTCAAACATTATCCTGTCAAAACCGAACAGCTTTTTTTAATACGATATGTTGAAAAAATCGCATTAATATTGTAATGTGATAAGAAACAAAATTGATAAAATGACGGTACAAGGAGGAATTTCTCCAATGAAAGGGGTAAATAATCTGATTCGGTTGAGACCCTTTCCAGCTACAAAACTCCCTCTTCCTGGATTTCATTTAGTATCTTGGAGCTCTAGGGATGAGCCTTGCTATGGTGGACGCAGTCACAGGCCCCCGAGTTCAACACCTATCCCTGGCTTCTACCACCGTCGCATCTATCATCTCTGTCCCCATAATGAGATGTCAGCTGTCTTATTTCAGCTCATTAGACCCTTTATTACCTGGTTCCGCCCAACAGCTAACGCGGCGTCGTCACCCGCTGTGCTCGACTAGCATCATCTAATGTGAATGTCTTCCAGAAGGTGGTTCCTAATTCCGCTGAGGACAGCCCGCTAACTTTCTGATTCCCCTGTGAACTCCCTGTACCTATTATCTGTGTCCGTTACCCTGGTGAAACCCGTTAGCGTGAATGCTAATTCTGATTAGCCCACTGGAGTAGATCATTTGGAAGAATCTTGATCTGCTTTAAAGTAGAAGTGTGAGGTACCTGAACAGAACAGCACCACTGAAGCCAATCAGGGATCTAAATGTAGTCCCTGAGACCTCCAGGGTTGTGGGTTTCATTCCTACTCCCAACTCTGTGTGTGGAGCGTTTCCTTCCATAGTCCAAACACACACAAGTGGCTCATTTCAGGTAAGTGTGTGTATAAGTGTGTGCGCCCTGTGATTGGCTGGCATGCTATCCAGGGTCTCTGCAGCCTTATGCCTCATGTTTCCTGGGATAGACTCCAGACTCACTGCAACCCTATATCCATTCCTCAGCGACCCACAGACAGTCCATGTTTTTGCTCCCTCCCAGTAGGAAGCAAAAGCGTGGACTGTCTGGCAGGGAGCTGGGAGGGAGCAACAAAGTGGACCGTCCGTGGGTCCCTGTGGACCGGGTTGGGAAACCCTGCATACTGTATAATCATGGATATATCTACTGATTAATAAATGTTTTGTGGGGTTAACTGTATTAATTTAATTTTTATCTTTTATCTTTATCACAGAAAAGCCACTTTTATTATAACAGTGCATCCTGGCTAACTTAGCCTTTGTCATTAAAACTTCTCCAACCATTGAAAAATCAACCTTAATATTTATGTTCTTCAAGCATTATTAACTACGTCAAGGTCGTTTGACTATCAGTTGACCACGCAGGTGCTTCATTAATCATTAAAGACATTAATTAATGGCGTCTTGGTGCGAATCTCCCTTTAGCGGGGACGTTTTTCACGGGGGCCCTCTGTCGTGTGATGACACACACTCACATGAGGTAGGAGATGGTGGCGTCCACCAAACACGAGCCACAATCTATCTGCGGCACCTCTGATTTTGTGCCCTAGAGCAGACAGGGTTGCATAAAAGCGTCAGCGCGTCATGCATTTATACGTGCAAATGAGTCAGATGGCGCCAAGGTCGTTTCTGACGGCCCCTCCACCGCAAGCCGGCGCTGGATCACATCTCTGCCCCGACTTCCGGCTCCTCGCTGCTGCCCCTCAGAGACGTTATAGAGAATAGCGCACAGCATCCTTGGTTGTGTAAAATGTCATGGAGGTTGAGGTTACAGGAAGGATGACCTCCTCCTTTGTCACTGTGCTGGACCGGCATCCTCAGAGTGTGTCCGCCGAAGATTAAATGGATAAATTCAAAAGAAAAACACGCCTGTGTTGACTCTCGCTTTTTATTTACCTATTCAAGTCGTGAGTCGTGAGCTCGCGCCGTCAAACAGCCGCGCTGTGAACACATCCCGGCCTTAAATACTTCTCTCTAACAATACAGACAAAAAGAGGATTTTTTCTCAGGGAATGTGGCTGAAATAATCAAAGACTCACCCAAATGCCTGTCTAATGCCGTGAAATGAATAACGGAAGGCTGTTTTTCTTCTAAGATTTCAAAATATCATTTTACTGATATACTCATGGTGGGTGACAAAAAAAGTTCTAGAAGGATATTCACTCGTTAAGTTGTATTTGAAGTTGACTGTGTGAAGGATCTCACTGTGAGCACAGAACAGACATCTCTCCTGGGTCTATATGCCGTGTTTCAAATGACCTCATACTTTAAACGTCTAACATCTCCCCTGTAACACAGCGTTCCGTGTTCAAGTAGAAAAGCAGTCATTTCCATACTTAATATCCAGACATCTTAGCGCATTTCTAAAGTATAACAGCTCCATTGTTCTCGCCTTTTAAGTGTCTGTACGCCAAGTTGGGCTTGACAGACGACGAGCCAGTTACCAACCTGCCCTTACTATACATTTAGATAACACTTTTATCTAAAGCTTTGCACATTTTTTTGAGATAGCAGAGGCAGACAGTTCCTAGAGCATCAAAGGATTATGAGCCTTGTTTAAGGACCCAATGAGGAAACCACTTCACTGACCTCAGGATTCAAACCAGCAACCTTTTTATCACAGACCCAGCATCCTAACCCTCTGAGCCACATGTCTTTTCAATATAAGCTCCTGGCTATCAGTCTGTAAAATGGACCATTGATTCAAACCATTGAAAAATCAACCTTAATTTTTGTGTTCTTCAAGCGTTATTTCCTATGTCATGGCTGATCAACCAGAATTTGACCACATGAGTGATTCATTAATCCAAAAACAGCTAATCAAGGGTTCCGTTAATGCTGCTCACCTGACGCAGAAGATGGACAGTTTGAAGCAGAAAGTCGATTCGTCCCTCTCTCCTCATCTCTGCATAGGGTCTCCTCTACGCTCCAGGCCTGATCTAGCTGAGATGCACACAGGCTCAGGTGCACAAGCCCTGCCTCGGGGTCTTTGGTTGCCACAGCTGCAGAAACTGTCCAGATTTATCAGGGGGGCAGTGTGAGACCGGCGACGGACAGGCACGCCATTGAGAACGCTAGACAGTAAAGAATTCTACTTCCGTTTTCACAGTCCACAGGGAATATCTGACTATTAACTAGTGTAGTCAGTCTAAACGGCAGCGTCTTACTGATTGGTCCTGTACAAAGCTGACCTTTAAGCTGTAAATTGCAAGTCATGCAGCATTTTCATCTTTTTAAAATCTTTTGACAATACATTCAAAAAGAAGTTTTTTATTCCACGAGCTCTTATTTAATACGAGCTCAAGCTGAGGTCCAACGTGGTAAATAAGAGCTTATGAAAGTATTATAAGCATTTTCAATTCAAGATTAAAGTCAGATTGCTCGAAGCTGGAAGCTGGCACGAATCTCCATGCTGGCCGTGAGCTTATGTTCTCCGCAAGGTGACACGTGTTTTACCGCTTCTGAGAGTGTCTCCGCAAGCTCTGGAAAAATAAAAATAACCGATAGCTTTTGTTACTAGCCCACGACGCGTGTGTCACGCCTGAGAGGACGAGCTTAATCTCACCGTGCCGCGCGCCAGCTCTGAGGGCGCGTCCCAAATCCCGCTCTGCTTTATTGATTTTAAGGCTGCCTCGGATACTTCCGGGAAACGCGCTCGTCAGCGAAAGACCTGTATCCTACAAGAGCCATGCAATGTTTATCGCGGGAAAAAAAACCCGCATATATCCATCTTCCATGCTCTTGCCCGGTATGGGGCAACCTGGAAGATTGATCAGCACTGGGGACACCCCAGACGGGATATAAGGGTCGGAGAAATAAGGGCAGGTTTGTTATTGGGACCCCTGCCTCAAAACTAAATAAATAAACTAAAACTAAATAAATAGCTAGAAAGTACAGTCATACACTTGTAGCTAGCTGGTTATCAGATCAGTATCCCATAAACAAGAAACACATTTATTTAATATTTAGGTTAGTGTAGTTACTCTTTGTGGCCAATAGGGGCTCCCAAACCTCGAGGGCCATACACAAATGCATGGATTGAGTGCTGGTAAACACCATCGCTGTGGGGACACTCCAGACAGAATGCCAGTCCATTAACATGGCACAGGAATGCGTGGTGTCTCATGCCCATAGTCTGTGTGAATGTATGCACGTATAAATATACATATACATCAAACGAAAGACAGCTTATGAGGTGAAGTGAGTGGTACTGGGTGCTATATACAGTAACCCAGGCTGGCAAGCCGACAGAGAGCCTGGAGGAGAATGAGCCGCAGGATGAAAATTCACTGTAGTAAAGCAACGGAAAAGTAACTTCACGTTGGCTTGTGGGCTTATCAATCAGACGTCTGGTGTCGCCGCGGGAGCGATGGGAAGGGGCCCCCAAGTTGATTTGTAACACGAGTGCACGCCATTAATCTTCCTTACTGCACCACCCACCGCGAGGGGAAGCCACCGCGAGCCCAGGCGACTCTACAGCCGTCTCCCTGTGACTCTACAGCCAGAGGCATGGGCTTCCTGCGGACCATCACACATGGGGGGGTTCGGCGTCAGACACGGACGCTAAAAGCTACTGCTGTTGATTTGCAATAAAATTCCAATGAAAATGGAACCATGGGATGTTGATTACTGATAATTATGCAGGACCGGTTGCAACCAGGAGATACTGGGTGGGTCTCAGGATTATCGGTGAGGGCTGGGGGTTTGATTGATTAATGGTAATTCAAACTCTTGAAAATCACACAAAAAACTTACTTGCTAGGCGGTAAAAACAGTCATCAAAGGGGTATTAAAATTAGCTAAATTTCAATTTGCTGAAACTTGGGAGTGCCTGAGGGGGGGCAGTTCTCCTTGGCACCCCCATGGTGGCTGGGCCCATTATTGTGGCAGATTTAGTCTTGTATGTATATATGATTTGTGGAAATCCTACAAAAGAAGACCATGTAGTTAAGCCAGAGTTATGGTGGGTCCGCTCAGGTCACTGTGGTCTCCTACCTCCCACTGAAGACCACGAAGAAGCTCCGTGGTGAGGATCTCCCTCAGTAGGTCGGCCACCTAGCAGCCTGCTTTGTTAGTGTTATACATGAGGGGAGACACACACCTGTGTATGCTGAACAACACTCCATTACATGAGTCATTCTGCTGACCACGGAATGTACTGGAAAAAAACATCAGTTTAATGAGCATGGCGTTCCACTTAAGAGGACGTACAAATTTGTGACGACGCTTTAGGCTGCTTATGTTAGTTTGTGGAATGTGAAATAATAAATAAATACTTGTCAGGGCCTAGAGGAATCTACTTCATCATCAAACATCCTTTTCGCAGCGAATATAGGGTCTGAGCACATCAATCCGGGAATTAACCGTAACTCTCTAAAAAAGCTTCTAAAATGGGACCCTCCTCTGAGGACTATTACAAAAAACAACAGCATACAATTATTCCGAAATACACATGAAAACACTTGATGAATTGTGTAATACTGTAGTTGCTAAATTAGGGTCACATTTTCCAGTCTCCCCTCTGCACTGTCCAAGTTTCAGAAAACACTCAAGGTAATTTAATAATAGGACCTTCAGCAACTTCAAAAAACCCTCAAAATCACCTTGTCCGTCACATAGCAGTGGAAACCTAGTTCTGAGGCTTCTCCCACTACATCAAAGTCCAAATGTGTGACTGTGACTAGGCTAAATGGCCAAAAATCAAATTCTGTCTGTTCCTGACTCTACCCCCAGTGTGGTGGAACAAGCATATCCTAAGTCTGCAGAATCTCTCTTTCTCCTCGGGATAGGTGTGGTACTCATACTGTACTCCATCCCTACCCCGCACTTCATTGTTGTTGTGTTTCAGACCTCATGCATGATCAGCTTCATATTCCCTACACATTCCCTTCACATATGAAGGTCACTCACTCCAGCCCCAGCATCTGCAGAATCATCACATATCTATGGGCCCTTAAAGGTTATGCTTTCCCAGTTTTTCCCTTCCCTATAGTGTGTTATACAGTTTTATGTGCTTGTAAACATTCTGGAAACTCCTAAGGCTCAAAGGACACACCAAAACGCTTACCACTGAAACCTCTCTTCTTTAATCTGCCTGAAACGCCTTGTTGGAATTTTAGCTCCTACTTCTGTAACATGGTGAGGTCACCTAGTAACACAATCCTTATTGACTGCCTACCTGCAAGAATCTGTCTGCAGTTTGCAAGACTGGGGTGTAACGCGTAGGGCAAGCTGACCAATCGGGCAAACTGACCAATCACCAGGGGTGGGGCTTAAAGCTCTAACAGAGCATTTCTGACAGACTTATAGACAGATATAAATTTATTCTATTAGACCCCAAAAATAAAATTATGAACAGTGACAATGAGCATTATAGGTCCCCTATAACACCCAGCTCCAGGGGTCCTCCATGCTGGCTGACTTTGCCCTGTCAAGCCCCCCACCCCCAAAGCTTACTCTCACCTGTATGTGTCTCTCATGGGGAACAAGATGGGGCAGGCAAAGAGGAGAGTTCCAATTTTCTTGTGCAAATGGCAAGTAAAGGACCATTTCAGATAGGCTTCCTACACGTATTGACAGTGTGCTACTTCTGGTGGTGTTTAATGTACTTATTACTTGCACTGACCTGTAAGTCACTTTGGATTAAAGTGTCAGACAAATAAAGGTAGTTTAAGTGCCATGAAGCATTAAGAGGCATGAAATCCACACACGTGCTCATGGTCTATGCCGGGTAATATGAGCCCTTCAGCTCACAAGTGAGCCCTCAAACAAAAGCCAAATCGATCCTCTCCTCAGCCTACAACAGCACAGGAGCAAAGCCCTAGAAAACCAAGACAAATAATAAAACTAGTAATGACCAAAGAATGAGAAATGCGAGCAAAAAAGAAAAACAATGAATTCAAATATATTTCCCCTCAGCATGATCCCCCATAATGATAATCATCATCCCCCGTTTCCCCGACCAGGATAAGCAGTCGGAACATGGATGGGCAGATGGGTCACCTTCATGTGTGGACCTCAGCTCACCAAGGTCAGATATGTGCCATTTATTAGTTGCATGTGTGTTAATATGCTGGCCTTTATGTAAGGAAACAAGTCAAACATCTGTGGTTTCTTTCAAAGCGTTGAGTGCTTTTCTGGCGGGGAGTATGTAAGCTAATTGTTTCAGGCCTAGATTAAATTGGCCCTTGAAAGCTTGTGTGGTTATTAAGTGTCCGACCCGTAATGGCACTCACGACCTCTAGGTGCTTCGGTAAATCTGGCTTTTTAATTTCGGCTTATTCGACACCTGTGTGTCCTGACCAAAGCAAACAGGTTTGGTCACCCACTGTCGTCCGAGTTTCCGGGCCATTCTGGAATTCTGAGCGGCTTTACTTAAGCCCCACCTGAGACCCGCAGAGACGCCGGCCCGACGGCAGTCGTGAAGCGGGCGTGTTTGACATTTTGCCCGTGTGGCGGGGCGCGCGATCGCATCCCTCCGGTGAGATTACAGCGTGTGTGTTTTGCCATCTTTCACGTAATGAGATTTTTCACCTCGGCTGGGGAACGTATCCATGCGTGGCCGTTCCGGGTGGTTCCGTCTGTCTTTGCCAGGATGTAACCGACAGAGCTGGCCCCGCGCCAGTGGGGATCATGGAAGCGGATCCACCGTGCTCATGGGTTTATTAAGGAGATTAGATTATTGTAACTTGCTTTTGCCTTGTTCCTTTGATTTGTAAGGATCACAGCTGAGTCTTGGTGCTCTGTCCAAGGTGCAGGGAATTATTACACTTATTTTTTGTATTGCTTTTCTTTTTATTCATGCATGACAGAGATTGTGGTAAATGATGGTTAAGTATCTCAATGCTTGTGATGATCTTATCTGTTTTTTATGTTATTGGTTCATCTGCTAGTCCGAATGATATTTCCACGATCTTTTGTGCAATGACAATAAAGGCATTCATTCGTTCATTCTTTAATTCATTCATTCATTCATTCATGGACTCCCATGTCTGTCAGGCTGCACGAAGATCCCATTGCTGTCCATCAGCATAAAATTGAAATTGAAATATTTTTTTGCCAAAACTTTGTAATACAACATGAAACTCTCAATTTTTTGTCATAAAGATACTGATTTAATTGTATTTTTTACTGTATTTGTCATTCAGGGAAATCACGCAATCACTGCTCTTTTGCCTTATCTGGGGTGAATTGGTGGAAATGTGGAAGAAGTTCTCGTTCTGATCAAGTCCTTAATTGGAGACTGCTTCCATCTGGAAAGGTCAAAGAGTGTGTACATCTGGGGGTAAAAACTGTGAGAACTGAGCTGACTCACTGCACTCATTTAGGAATTCTCCAGAGTCAGTCAATACAGCACAGCAGTAAACCACTTCTCTTTGATCTACCTATTAATGTCCTGGACATACTCGTGTGATTCTGTGGCCGACTTTGATTGGCTCATTTTTATAATTGGTTAATTGACCCGGTTGTGAGAACCATTCGGACATGGTACTTAAGCATTAGCAAAGGTCAGAAGAGGGCAGGTAAATACAATTGAGCCCCTGCTGTGACTAATTTCAGCTCTGATTCAGGGAAAGAGATGGCTCTCCAAGGTGGGTAATTTGATTGGTCTCCAGATGAGCCCCAAGCTCCTGTGTTAAATCTGATGTCAAGGGGTGTGCCGTCTTTGCTTATTATTGACTGTTGTGGGGGAAGCGGGGGTATGGGATAAAAAGATAACTCAAAGATGACTCTGTGCCTTCAGGTTTAGAATTAATAATTTCATGGAAAGAAAGGTTAAAACCAAGGAAAGAAGCATGACTACTAAACCTCACGGCTCTGTTATTGTGTAATGCTCATTATGAGTGTGATGGTTTATTACCCATAAGCCCACGCCTGTAGCATCTCTAAGATGCTACATATTGATCTTGCATTACTCAGGGTTACTTAGCCTCATGGTTAATACGTACACTGCATTTTTTTGCCAGAGGGGTGACTCGATCTGACCAATTAGTTAATTAATTCTCCTCTAATTAGTGCTCTCTGGAAAGCGACGGCGGGCGTGCAGAGCTTGCGGCTTGCAGAACCTGAGACGAGCATCGTGGGAATTCGGCTGGCGGTAAGATGCGAAGGGCTCAGATGTTATGATTATTCTGCTCTGCCTTGTAGCTGATAGGCATAAGATATGGATAGATAATAAGGCATATTAATACACATGTTTATTCATCCACCCATAAAGGCGGGGAGAAAGAGATAAAAATGGAGCTATTAATCCCCTCCCCCCAATACCACCACCAGAGCGGCGTCCATCCTGTTGTCCTGCCTCTAATCGTGTGACGTGCACGATTGAAATCACCTGGAAATTACTGGGGGAGCCTCAAGCGCTCCATCTGCATTCCTGTCAAGTGTCTCTGCATCAGCCTCAAAGCCGTCTCACCCGCTGTCCTGGGTCCTCCACGCAACCGAGATTATGATCTCTCCCCATGCCCATGTGACAGGAAGTAGGGCGGCGGCCATCACTTAGTAACTAGACCACGAGTGATGTCTGAGGTTGCTGAGATATCAGTGGAACTCTTAACTGGTGTGTGTGTGTGTGTGTGTGTGTGTGTGTTTGTGCTTATTTTTTTGCAATGTCCTCCTTCTTCCTTTGATCATTTCAGCTGTAATTATTCCGAGGTGTCCCGTTCACTCCAGCGGGTGCCCACTTTCAGACGAACCCTGAGTTAATTATCTATGAAAGCAGGCGTCGTGAACCTTAATTATGCCGCCAACTTTTTTCGGGAAAAGACTCGTCTCTGGATGATTAGGGTCTGGTGGCCGCCGAAATCTCTGAGCGCTCAACATGTCATCATTATTCCAGACCCTTAAATCGCTGTCACCTGCTCAGCTGCGTAAGATGATATAAATCTTTCAATTATGCTAATAAATTGTAAAGTTTTGTTCAAATGTAACCACCAAGTGAAGACATTCTTGTCTTCCAGGAAGGTATCCACTTCCTGTGGCCACTTGGAAGATATTTTTATGGTAGATATGATAGAGTGAAGAGAGAGTATGGGGAAGGCTGCCTGTAAGCCTTGTTTACAGTTCAGTTCAGGTCAATGGCAATGGGGAATAGCTTCGTTAGCATCATGGCTAGCTCTCGGCAGCCCCAAAAACATACTACAGCGCTCAGGTTTGCCTCTTGGGCCATTGATAAACACCTGAAGGCCTTTTCCTGCCTGAAAATATCTGACCATCCAAAATCCAGAGTCTGGGGCCCTGCAGCTGAAGATGTTTCCTTCCCAGAAACCAAGTTCCTGTTTATGTCAATTGCTATTGATTAGCTATTTACCGCCATTCAATGCTAAGTATGCTCATTACTAGCTAGTAATTAGCGGTTCAAATAAAATCTTGTAATTGAACTATGGCTTCATCGCAAAAGATCATATTCATATCCAAGATTTTATAGACACATTAATATTTATCGATGATATAATTTTCATCCGATTTTATTTAATTGTAGCCCTTCACGCTAAATGCCGTCTGACAGCTGTAAACCTCCTGTAAAGGTTTCGCCTCTGACCTGCTTTTGACCTACTTTTTTGCCCCCCACAGTTGGTGTGGGGATTCATCGATCACTCACGCCAGATTAATGCACGAACCTGCAGGCTGTAGGTGGAACCCAGAGGTATTGTGTGATGAGCATTAAGATTCGCTTGCACAGCTGGGCTTGGACGCGAGCCCACAACCTCAGAGGCATGTGGCGCCGACACCTGCTATGGGGCCAGCTCGGCCCGGTTCGCAATCCTGTGAGCGGTAACTTGTATCTATGATGCACTGTTCCATAAACTGAGCATGTTATACTGTTATTCCAACAAATTATAGTGACGTTACTACCAATGCATCCTGGGGTGGACATTCAGATATGTTAGGTGGGCACCAGCATTCGAATTGTGTCAAAGGTCTTGGGGGGGGGGGGGTCTCCCACCTGTAGCCAAACACCTGCCTACCTGTAACCATGCCCATTTGTAGCCACGCCCCTGTGAGCCTGTAGTCACACCCCTGCCAGCCTGTTGCCACGCCCTCATTTACCCATGGCCCTTGCCTAACTGCGGCCACACCCCTCTTATACCATTTCAGGTTGAAAGTAAAGCTCCAGATTCATTGGCTGGTTAATTTTATAATCCTTTATGGTTCTTGGATAGGCAGTGGGGGCCCAAGCTGAGCTTGAAACAGATATTGGTCAGATTTCAGTACCTGGCAAACATGGTCACTGTCTGTGAAAGCTGCTGGTATTTTGTCGTGTGGGTGAGTGCTGTTGAAAATCCTCCTTCGCTTCCCAGCCAAATCAGACACCATCTGATGGGGTCCTCTGCCACTAACGAGCACAGTCACTCAATCGCCAGTTGGATCAACTGCATTTTTGACATTGGAAATTTGGTCATTAGAACAGCGTTTCAATGGGGCGACAGAGATCGACCCCTTCATACGGCCATAGAACTCAAACTGCTCAGAAAGCATACTAATGACAAGGTACAGTATGGCGTCCTGTGCCCTTTACACCTGACATGCGAGGTGTAATCCCACGGCCTGTCCACTGGAACTTTCTACCTCAGCTGATCAGGATCTCATGATTAAGGCTGTGTCACCTGACTTTCATAAAATACCCTGATGTCATCCTCTTAGGTTGTGAGGGCTGGCTTCCCCCCGCCCCCCAGAGGAATGTCTCTCTTGGGGGCCATCACGCCATTGTCGTCATCCATCTCTGCAGTCTCCCTGGCGTGTATCCAGCTTTCAGCTGAGAGGTGCGGTTATCTTCTAAAAAGAGGCACCTTTTCATTCTGGAACACATACCTGGGGGCAGGGGGCGGCGATCACGTTCATTTCCCATTGATCCTGCCATTGTGTAGCCCATCTGTCTCTCGCTTCCACCCCCCCCATCGTATAAGGCCAGCTGCAGAGCATCTCGATCGTAATCTGGAGAGGTAATTCAAAACTTATTTTTAGCTTTTGCCATTAAGCTGCATGTCTGGCTGTCTGAGACGGCGAAGACGGACCCTTAATCTGCCGCTCCCCATCCAGAGCAATTTAAGGTGTCGGCATCCGGTCCCTCTTGGGGCTTCACTTGATTCCGTCGGCGAGGGCATCTAAACCATTGCCCGCTTGGGTCTCCCTTAGATGGCTCTGGATGATTGTGCTTCTAATGACTGATGCTCATATGACCACAAGCTCAGAGGTTTTGATTATGTGGTTATTATTTTTAATATACCACTCCCTGGTTGTCGTCAAATCTTCCAGTCATCAGTGACTCTTTGTTAGGCTGCACCAGTCGAGCCACGTGCTTCAAACGAGGCTTTTATCGGTCCTATTAACTTAAGTGATCCTTACGACAAGCCTTCTGATTCCTTGATTGCAGGGCCTGTGTAAATTTAATAGTTATTTTCACATAGTCAACGGATAGGAGAAATTTTTCGATCATGCTCTTTTACTGCAGTCTTCCTTATCTATAAGTGTCACTGGCACAGAAGACAGGACGGCTGCTCCTGTAAATGACGCCATGAGCTGGCAGAAATGTTATTCTGTTATCCTCTTGTCACAGAATTGTGGTTCGGTGCTTGAACTGAGTCTTCCTGACTAGACCACGAGTGGCAGGATTTAGCCAGTAAGAATGGCTGTCTGGGTCCTCGATCTCACCACAAGGTCCCTTGTTTTTTTCTTTTACTGCAGATATTGCGTTTTTCTTCATGTCATGCTGTCTGTTTAACCCTGGAGTGTTTATTTACAGAAAGCAGAAGGTCAGGTCAGGTTGGGGATCATGTGCTGATGCAGCACGTTGCTGCCCCCACCACATGGCGAAACTCCTCGGGATCCCGGCTGGTGATCCCCCAGGCAGATACATGGTCCAGTCCCACCCTCTAGAAATGGCCATCCATCTGAAGGAGCCAGGTGGTACATGGGCGTCCCCTCAGCCTGGTCCAGCCACTTGGGTCCCCAGCAATGAGGATCCTGCGAGCCAGATCACCCTCAGGAAAACGCGCCACATGGCCGTAGTGCCGTAACTGGTGCTCCCTCACAATGCAGGTAATGTGCTTCATTCGGGACTCCTCTAGCTACTGCTCATTTGACATAAAGTCAAACCAGCGGTACCCAAGGATTCTCTGAAAAGACAGAGTACCAAAGGAGTCCAGTCTTCATCTCAGCTCAGTGGATATCATCCAGGTCTCAGCCGTACAGCAAGACAGGGAGCACCAGGGCTCTAAAGACGTGGAACTTCGTCCTTAAGCAAAGGTATTGAGAATGCCACACACCCCTTTCCAGCGACCTCATGACCCCCCATTCCAATCGGTCTGCTGACTTCATAGGAAGAGTCACCAGAGACATAAATGTCACTGCCGAGGTAGGTAAATCTCTCGACAAGGTCGACATTCTCCCCACAGACAGATACCCTACTGATGGCTGTGCCCAAGAAGTCATTAAATGCCTGGATCTTGGTCTTTATCCAGGACACCCGCAATCCCAGACACTCAGACTCCTCACTCAGTCTCTCGAGAGCCCCAATCAGAGCCTCCATTGACTCCGCTAAGATCACAGCATTGTTGGCAAAGTCAAGATCCGTAAATCTTTCTTCACCAAAGGACGCCCCACAGCTGCTAGACCACACAACCCTACCCAACACCCAGTCCATACAAGCATTGACCAGAGTAGGAGCAAGAACACACCCCTGCCGAACCCCAGAATCAACTGGGAAGAACGCTGAGGCGCTCCCTCCACTCTGCACAGCACTCACAGTACCAGTGTACAGGCCGGCCATGATGTCCAGCAACTTTGGGGGGATCCCACGTCTCAGGATGTCCCACAGGGCAACACGACCAACACAAAGAACTTCTGCTGATATTCGTGCTTGCGCTCGATGGGAACCCTCAATGCAAGAATACGATTGATGGTAGACTTTTTAGGCGTAAATCCAAACTGCTCCGGTCCCTGACAGATGAGCAAGTCATCACTGATCCTGTTAAGGTTGACCCTAGCAAGGACCTTTACCCAGCACTGAAACCCCCTGTAGTTATTGCAATCCAGGCGATCACCCTTCCCTTGTGAGGGTCTTGTAGGGGAAAAGAGGACGCTGTTGCGGAATCAGATGCCAAGAAACTTTAATTACAAAAAAAAGGCTGTTTGTTGTCCAGGTCGTACTAACGGAGAACGTAGAATACCAAAAACCCAAGAAGCTGACAGGATCGTTGTCGTGGGGCAGGCTGGGGTCCGGCGATGTGCGGAGTCAAATCTCATGGTCAGGGTACAGGCAGGGGTCAGGCGATTCACGTCAGGCAACAATGGGGCTGAACAGAAACTCGGGGTCTATAAGGCAGAACACAGGTCAGAAAACTCGGAGAGGCAGAAATCAGAAAAAACTCCAGAAGATCTCGCATCAGAGTGCAAGATCCAATGGCTAAAATAGTCTCCCTTAATTGGAAATAACCTGCAACAGCTTGCGGTAGGAGGCTGAAACCAGAGAAACCGGACAACCCGGTATAGCAGCACGAGACTGACAGCTTGTTTAAATGGAGAAAGGTGGATCAAGGAATCGCCCCAACTGCAAGTGTCCAAGGAACAGATTCAGATGTGCATAATGCTTCGATTCCTCTGTAAGCAGGACGTGGGTCACCTGCTCACAGATCCTTCTAACAAACACCTACTTGGCAGGGTCTTATCATGGAAGGTCTCCCGCATCACATTAGAGTCAGCAGTCACACCTAAGTCTGTAAGTTCTTCACACAAATTGTGCGCAAACTCATCAGAAACAGCTTGATCTTGGAGTTTGGCTAAG